TGGAAGAAGCTAAAAATCAAGCTGGGTACCATATGTTTTTCCTTAAAGATATTAAACAAAATGATTTTAATACTGCAAACAACCATTCATTTGCCTTAGCTGTCATCCAAAGTTATCCCATTGTAGTATCACAGTTATTTGATAATTAGGCCAAAGCCTAACTGGAAAAAGTGGATGAAAAAAGTTTTCATGTTTTCTAGTCCTAGAGACCAATTTTGTCTTTATATGGTCCCAAGGATTTGGACTGATACTGAAAAAGTCCAAGAGTTTCCACTCAAGTTCACAGAAGCCACAGAAAATCTAGGTTAACTCCTAGGAATATTTGGAAGAAAAGTCCGGTTATGGAGTTATTATGGTATTCTGACTTACTTTCAAGCTGGAATAGACTGGTTGACAGAGCCATGAATTTAAGACCCTCATTGGTCCACACATCCAAATATTGACAACAGATTACCATGGTGCATAAAATAATTTGCACCTGTACTTACCTTAATCTCTCCTTTCTAACCATTTAACAGCCTCTTTCAAGTCTAAGTCTATATTTTAAAGAAAAACTTCCTTAAAATGTGAACTTAAAGTGGCTAATCTGATTGAGGAAAATATAATCGCATGGCTTATCTCAAAGGGTATAGCAGTCCATCTAATTCTGAGTGATCCTGAGTTGTACTCAGGCTATCAGTTCCAAATAATGTCACTAAAATCTCTAACGAAAAATATTGTGTTAATAACCCGACTGGTGATATTGTATATTGAAAAATATGTGTTTGGATAATTATACATGAACCATTCTTAATTTTCATTAAGCCACACAATGAATCCTCTGATTAGTAGCTAATGAGCCTATTATTAAGATATCAGGTTCATTAGTAAACATGGTACAACATAAAGTGCCTAATTTTAGGAATCAGAATAGAATCTGAGTCTTGGTTATCATTTATTAACCATTTCAGGTAGTCTCTATGAAACTGTTCCCCCATTATAACTACAACTTCATAGGATTGCTTGAGGATAAAGTGACATAAAGAACTCTGGTAACCACAGAACTATGCCAACAATGCTATGGCATTTCCTAGGTATGCAGGACAGTGGTATATAATAGGAGTCAATGAGGTGAAATGCACAGCATCTTCAAGGAAGGGAAGGCCCTTTAAGGTGATTATAGTCCTCCTCTGAATCACAATCAATAGAAAACCCAGTATTTCACTGAAGCTGAATGTGTAACAATTCACTAAAGATATGACTCTAGAGTACCAAGCCTGAAAAGGTAAGATTTGGAGTCATAGAATTTTCTGGTAAGAATGAGTCTGAGATAAAATTTGGAGTATTAGAACAGGACAAGGTTAGATAGAGCCTACAACAAAGACAGAGCGAAGGCAGCAACTAAAGTCAGGCCTGGACCTGAGTCATGGATTAGACTCTCTGTCCTCCTCCAAGACCAGCAGCCCACGGCAACGTTGGCTTGCCTCAAATGTTGACATCCAAGAGGAGAAACCTATTCCCCACTGATGCCTTTTCAGACCATATGAAGAAAAAGGGCTTATTTATTTGATCTGTACCTTATCAACTGGAAAATCCCTTGGATGGCTATCTCAGTCAGTTCCAGGTGGCTTAAACAAGCATTTATTTCCCACAGTTCTGGATGTTGGAAGTCCAAGATTAGGATGCCAGGATGGTTGGGTACTTGGCGAGAGAACCTCTTCCTGGTTATGTCTTCACATGGCCTTTTCTTGGTGCTTGTATGCAGAGAGAATGAGATCTCATTTTTCCTCTTTTTATAAAAGCATTAGTCTCATCATGAGGGCCGCACCATGATGAACTAATCTAACCCTAATTACCTCCCAAAGGCCCCCACCTCCAAATACCATCACACTGAGGGTTAGGGTTTCAGCATATGAATTTTAGAGGGACACATTCAGTCCATAGCTGTTACACATAAAGATCAAGTTCCTGACATCTCCAGCAGTGTACAAATTTATTTTGGACCAAAATTAATGTGGCATGAGCCTAAAAACTGAACATAGTCATGCACCGCATAACATTTCAGTCAGTGATGGACTGCATGCATATACAATGGTGTTCCCCTAAGATTGTAATGGAGCTGAGAAATTCTCATCCTCTGGTGACATCGTAGCCATCGTAACATAGCACAACACAGTACTCACATGTTTGTGGCCATACTGGTGTAAAAAACTACTGTACTGCCAGTCATATAAAAGTACAGAATGTACAATTATGTGCAGTACATAACACATGAAAATGATCATAAATGACAATGTTACTGATTGATTTACTGTACTATTCTTTTTATTGCTATTTTGGAATGTAGTTGTTATTTAAAAAAAAAAAAAAGTTTGCTGTAAATCAGTATGCTGTGCTACACCAGCAGCAATCTCATGCATCTCGTGTTTACTGCATCTTTTGATTCATCATTTTCTGTTGTGCTTGATTTAATATTGTGTTGTTTTGTTCATCATGGCCCCTAAGCATATAAAATCCACTGCTAATGTTGCCAGTAAGAGGCCACAATGACTGATTGACCTGGAAACAAAATCAAAAGTGATTAAGGGCTAAAAAGATGGAAAATCAGTGATAGTTATTGCTCATCAGTCAGTCATGTCCCATTCCACCAAAGCTACAATCTTGACAAATAAGAACAAAGTAATGGAAGTTGTTAAAGGGTCTGCTTCACTGAAGGCAATGAGACTAATGAAAATTTGAGAAAGGCCTATACCAGGCATTGAGAAACTGTGTGCCTACAGTGGCCAAGAGAACTAAAAGAAACTAAATCAAACTTTGACTAGAGAGGACAAATAAAAGCTGAACAAGATAGGAAGATGAATGTCAAAATCAAGTCGAAGAGGATCTGCTTCCAAGAGTAGTTAAATGTTCTGCGATTTGACTCTAATAGACTCTCGTTGTTAAGAGAAAGGCCATGAATTCCAAGGATGCGATCTTGGGAAGCAAAGTTCTCTAAAGTTTCTTGACTGGTGTCAGCCATTAACCATGTGGAGATGAAATGGCTGGGAGGCTTTTTGTGTGGGTTGCCCAGGATGTCCACTGCGACTGCATGGCCTCTGGGTAAGTACAAATTAAACCAAACTCTAGGGCTGGAGGTAAGAGGCTAGAATGCAATATCACTTTGGAAATCCATAGTCATTTGCTTGGTTTTCTATATTCTTATATGGAATACAGCATGGACTTTGGAGTCAGGAAGTTAAACATTCTAATTCTAGTTTCAATACCACTTACATAGTTTTAGACAAAATAGTCTCCTTAGCCTCAGTTTTCTTAACTACTAAATAGAAGCAATATCTCTCAGGGCTGTGCAAGGATTTAATGCAATAAAATATGTTAAAAGTATAGCAAAGAGTAATACACACTACTCAACAAAAGTTAGTTTTATCCCTTTTCCTGGGCATTTCCAGGAGTCCTAAAAGACCTTATGCCTGTAAAAACAATATGATAGAAAAAAAAAAACCTTCTCAAATTTCAAAATTAATATAAAAAGTTGTGATGGAAAATATAATATTAAATAAATGGAATAATAAAATTAGGTCGGTTGGCTAAAACTCAGTGGCAATGAAGTCAAAGTTCAATGCTCTTAGCCTAGGCTTTTTGTTCTCACAAAGTATGTTACTGTTTTATTTTACAGATTCATCCTTTATTCAAAAAAAGAGCCCAATAATTAAATGTTATTAATTATTATAATAATTATAATAGATGTTATAAACAAGGCCCAGAGGATGTACAACTTAGGAGCAGAGTTAAGACTGAGAATGTCTCCCTATTGAATACCAGACTCTGTGAATAAAATTTTCTTTTATTCTTTTAAGTATCAGTATCTATGATATAAAGTTAAAAAGTCCAACAACTTGGTGAGGATGTTTCCACAAACTATATAAAAATCTATAAATACTACAAGAAGCGGAAAAGAGTTTCAAATGAAGTTGTGAGAAGTATGCTTCAAGTTTAGTACATTTCCCTTTTAAATAACAAGCTAGAATTCTTTTACAAATACAAAATTAAGCCTCTGATATTATACTCACACATTTTAAAAAATTACCAATATTTTCCTTTGGCAAAATAAGTAAATAAACTGGCAAGCTTGTCAGACAATCATTTCAATCTAACACTTTACCTGGTAGACAAATATTTGTAGTAAATCTGTAAATAGTATAAATACTTTTTCCAAAATATTAAGTGAAAGAAATCAGACACAAAAGATTACATATTCCATAATTCCATTTATATGAAATACTAAAAAAGCAAAAGTAACGATAGAAAAAAACCATTATCTGTCAAGGACCAGAGATGGGAGAAAGGGGTTAACTGGAAAGGGATACATGAGTTTGGGGGGTAAAGGAAATGTTCTGTGTCATGATTATAGCGGTAGACAAATGACTATGTTTTCAAAATTCACTGAACTTCTATACTGAAAATTGAGGAAATTTATTATGTGAAAATTATACCTCAAAATTTTTAAAAGATTATATATAATCAGCATGCTTTTAAAATAATCACTTCATTAAAATATTGTACTTAGTAAACAAATATTTATTTGTAGAAAATCTGTAAATATACTTTTTTCATAATCATGAGTACTGTCTACTTTCTGACATTTTTATAAGAAATATTTTTAAATTTTTTCTAGAAAAACAGGTAAACTAAGAAGTACTTGAAAAATGACCTTGAATGCAATTTAAAACTCCAAAAATATTTCCTAAACTCAGTATGACCTTGGCTCGTCTATGACTGCTTTTCCCACAATGTAACAGTGTAACAGAGGATGTATATTCCGGTTGTACAGGGGCCAAGTAGACAATGTGAGTATTACTGTCATAAAGTGGAGAGTACAAGGCCTTTTTCAAAAAAGCTGCCACCGCTGAGTCCTGCAGAGTGCACCAGGGAAAAACACATGCCTCAGTGTAGCCAGAGCATACAAAGTTTAAAAAGAAGCAGAAATTTGGACTTTTATGTGAAATTTCCTGATTTTTTTAGAATGATGGTTCAAATTTTTTTTATAACATTGTGTAGGCCAAACAAAACACATCCGTAGGCAGAATTATGACCTCTGGTCCATAGTGTATGGTTTGTAACATTTTCAATAACAAAGTCTTGTTATCTTTCCAATGGCTTACATTTTTGAGTGAGTCTAGAATAATGTGGAATACTAGTGCAACTGAAGTAAAATTCATCTCACAATTACATGAAGGCTAGTTATTTCTGGCCATTTCACTGAAAATACAAGTCCTATTTACATTTCTAAGCATACTGGTTGGTAATAAAAGAAAAATTCAGTTAGAATGAAGCAAGAAGGAATGAGGAAAACTGAAGAAAATCACAACTTTAGGATCAGAGTCAGCTTCTAGATGCCAGAGCAATAAAGTAATCCACGTGCTGAAATTTTAGAACTTCATTGCCCCAACTAGTCCAACCTGGCAGTAAATTTCGAGCAAATAATTCCAAATACTCCCCATCTGGTTTGATAAAGTCCTTTAAAATCTCTGTTCAAAAAAGAGAAAAAAACACAAAAATTATTAAGAAAGGAATCAATATCTTTTTATCAGTTAAGAGTAAGAAGAAAAGCGAAAATATTTCCTTAAAAAAACAGTAAATTAATTTCAAGGATTTTATCACAGGCTTTCCTATTTATAGTTACAAAGTCATTTGAAATAAGCACTCTTGAGATTGGGAACAATACCATCAGAACTTTAGGCAGTCTTGATTTATCAGTTTTCACTTGTAGATAAGAAATGAGGATTTTAATACCCACATAGGTGACTTTTCAGTTTTCCAATACTGCTGACACATCTCCTGCATACTAACTTATTTTTTAATAATTGTAATCCATGCATGTTCTATAGGAACAATAAAAACACAAACCCACTTTAAAAACTAAGATAGAACATAAGACTCTACAAACATATACTTCAGTGAAAGAACAGTAAAATGAAAAGCTGGACACAGAAATATTAAGAACATATAACTACAAATAACTATACCTGCTTAGCTTTAACTTGACAGTACTAAAGACATTCCTTCACTTCCAAATTATAGATCCTTATTTACCTAAAATTTCACCATATTATTTCCATAGTTAAGTATTCCTTATTCAATGTATTAATAACTATTGAAAGTCATATTTTGTTGAGGAAAAGGTAATGGCTAAATAGCTGTGATCTACACTAACAGAAAGAAAAAAAATACCATTGAAGCTTTTTTTTAAGCTCATGCTCATTTGGATGACAAATATTTAAATCACTTTAACCTTGATCACATTGCTAGTTAGCTATACTAACTAATTACAGAAACTGGGTATGAAAATAATTCAGGAATAAAAAGTCACTAGAACAAGTAAAACATAATTCTTAATTGCTATATAAGATTGAGCTCAGGAGAAATCTATCAAATTCCTTTTAGGAATGAGAAGGGTTCCTTAGGAATACTTGATTTAGGTAAGGTTTAAGAGACAACCTATCAAAAATTTTATGTTTCATAATGTTCTTCAATTGCTCTCACAGCGAAATAATTGTTTATTTGTCTGAATGCACTGGTCCTGCTTATCAAAAATCAAAGGATTAAAAGTAATGTATACAACTCGAATGAACTCAAACTTGGGCTTTGCTAGGTTCTAGGAGATGCTGACATGAAGACTTTAGTCCTTTCATAAGTATATAATTAAATGTTACTAACTTGAAAGAGAAAGATTTCCCCAGAATCTTAGAGGACAATAAACCTACATCACTTTTCCATTTTTTCCCATGAATTCAATGCTTTACCGGCCTCAATTCACTTTTAATGTAGTCTAAGGTTATACTGAACCAAGGTTTTGTTTGTTTTTGATTATTTATTCAGTTTTTTAGTAGAAAGATGTTAGTAACTATATTTTAGAACTTTAAACTGGAGTCTAAACTGGAGTCAGCCAGTCAAAAATGTTTACTGTTCTAAGCATCCTCAATAATCAATGCTATAGAATTTAACAAAGGAAACAGATACCCATGTTTCTAAAAGTTCACAGTCTAACAGAAAAAGATGACCAGGTACTTGAAGTGGAAAAATACATACAACCTAAACCCATTTACCACTACCTACTCTCTCAGCCTAACACATTCTGGCATGATTTTATTTTTCTTTCTAGTTTACAAAAACAGAAAATCGAGGAGTAATGTCTTTGTAATGCAAAATGGTTAATTTCAAAAAAAAAACGAGGTAAAAGATATAAAAGCAAATTAATAGAAATGTTTTATTCTACTAATTTTAAATATCGACTTAAAAAAATGCAAGATCTTAAAAGTTCTTATTACAAGAAAAAAAATTTTGTAACTATGTATGGTGATGGTTGTTAACTAGACTAGTTGGTGATTGTTTCATAATACAGATGTTCCTCAACTTATGATGGGGTTATGTCCTGATAAACTCATCATAAACTGAAAATATCATAAGTTGAAAATGCATTTAATATAGTTAACCTACTAAACATCACAGCTGAGCCTAGCCTACCTTAAACATGTTCAGAACACTTACATTAGCCTACAGTTGGGTAAAATCATCTCATATTAAATACACTCTAGATTATCAGTTGTTTATCCCTGTTATTGAGTTGTTGGCTGGGAGGTACGGCTCACTGCCACTGCCCAGCATCACAAGAGAGTATTGCACTGCATATGGCTAGCCCAGGATAAAATCAAAATTCAAATTCAAAGTATGATTTCTACTTAATGCATATCACTTTCACACCATTGTGAAGTCAAGAAATCATAAGGAGAACTATCATAAGTCAGGTACCATCTGTATATCCATATACTGAATCATTGCATTGCATATCTGAAACTAACATGTTATGTCAATCATACCTCAATAAAAAAATGCAAATATATACATTTAAATATGCATATGATATGTACATACTTAGATAATTACATAACATCTGGCATTAGTAAAACATACTTCTAACCAACAGAGAAGAAATAAACCATGCATAGCCAGTCATTCTCTTTTTGTTCTAGGGGCAAGGAGCAGGGCTGGGGGAGAAGTGGCTCAAACTATATGTAGAATCTCATCAAATTATGTTTTACTATTCAGATAGGAACTATTAGTACGTAAAGTAGTAAAAAGGAATAGAAATTCCTCTGTGGTAAAATATGAAAAACAAAGTTTAATTCAAATACTTTTATTTTATTATTTTCCTATTAAATCTTTAAACTTAAGAATATACATTTATAATGTTAGGTTTTAAGTCACAGCTATTGATAGCTTATCTTTAAATCTAACAAGGAAACTTCAAAACTTAAAAATATATCATTTTGAAATGGAATATGCTGCTAATTTGGTCTTTTACATTTTGCAGCAGAAATAAATTATAACTTTTTAAAATATCTTGGTGTTTCTAAAAGCAAAAGTGAGGATATTTCATTTATGAATTTGCATAAAGCAGTTTAAGAATATTTACATGTAAAAGTTCTAAGTGTTACATATACAACATTTTTATCTCAAATCTTAGAGTTATGGTTTCAGAATAAAATACTACAGAAATCTGAAAGTTGCTTTCTGGTGGCTTTAATCTATATGGCTCTATGCCGAAAATACAAGCACTTGGTATAGAATGACATGAACACGAAAATAAAGGATTACAAATATTTCTTGTCTACCACTACTTAACCAAAATATAAGGATTACATATATCGTGTAATGCAGATTTTTTCCCCCAAAATCTAACTTGTTTTTAACCATTCTCAAGCCTAAAAATGTGTTTGTACTGCACTCTACTGGGAACATGGCAGAACTGCATTTCATAGATATAGGCTGCAATACTAATATCTATTAGTATTAATAAAATACTAATTGTTTTAACTATTTTAAAACTCTTAAAACTAATCTGTAAACATAATTTTATTCTATTTAAAAGTAATTGACAGTCTATGGCCATGCTTCCCTGAACAAGCCATCTGATCTCAGAAGCTAAACAGGGTCGGGCCTGGTTAGTATTTTGATGGGAGACCACTTAGGAAGACCAGGTGCTGTAGGCATAAAAAATAAAATAAAATAAATAAGGGATTGAAAACAGACAAGGTCCGTGCAATCTGTGAGGTCAACTAAGGGTTGCCTTGCCTAAACAAGTAAATAAATAAATAATTAAATTAAAGTTAAATTTAAATTAAATAAAAGTCATTGATAAATAGTTTAACAACCATTTGAGAATGAAAGGTTTCAAGTCTTACCTTTTGGATTTTTAAAAGTACAAAAATAAGCCCTAAGGCAAACACTAAATTAAGCTTTGGTACTCACTGACCGATAAAGAAAATACGAATGAAAAGAACGCAAATTATATTTCTTCCATCAAGTATAACTGGCAACAAACAATTTTTTTCAAAGAACAGTACAATCTCACCTTTCATTTAAGTCACATATTTAATGCATTAAAGAATCTATGATAGTCCAAAGTTTAAAGAATTATTCACTGAGAATTCTTCTAAATCAAAGAATGAATCATCAGGTAAACATCTGACTATTTCTCATATGAAGTAACACTGTAATGTCCCTTCTGCATAAGCAGTTTACAATAACAGAAATCCTAAGTGCTATCAATAAAAATTCTTTTGGGAATTTGTATTCACTTTCCCATATATCCTAGGTCATAAACTATCCCATATTCCACAAAATAATATGGTAGGCTAGTGAACTATAGTTTTCCTGAGAAACAGTTTGAAAGTTTGGGTGTTTTTAAAGCAGGGATCAGTCCAAATTAATAAAATATATATTCCTGAAGAAATTATTTGAATACTAAAATTTGAATATCAAATTAAATATCTCTGAAGGACTAACATTTCTATTTTTTAAACTCGCTTGAAAAATTTAGTATTTATTGAGCTTCTACTATATGCTACAGAATTTGAAATATATTATAACCAATCCTCACAACTATGAAAGATTAAATATCATTATTCCCTCTTTAAATGAGGACTTTGAGGTGGAAAATGATTAGAGTAACTCACTCAAGTAGCAGGGTAAGGATTCAAACTCATGTCAGTAAATCTCCAAAGCCAAAACTTTCTACTATTCCTTGCTGCTTAGTCTCACTGAGTGATGAACATTATACTAAAGCATTAAAACTAGTAAGAATTGCAGGCTTTAGCAATTATCTTTTTAGCAGTTCAGAAAAGCAAAATGACCTCAGTGTAAAACTGAGACTCTTCCAAATATCAAGGTAATTCTAATTATCTCTCTGCTATTCTGAGCTCTTGATTTTAGAACAAGCAAGGGATAGAGTCCTGGTAGCAAAACAAAGCCCCCTCAGAGACCCCATCAGTCTTCATGCTGTTGGTGAAGAGATGGGGTAACAACCAGTAGCAAGGGGAACCTAAAATATGGTGTTAAGAGGAAAGATTGAGGTAATATAAAACTATCTATGCAGTGCATCCAGCGGTCTGCAAATCCCTCTTGCTTCAACAGTGTTTGGATGGAACAGATCCAAAGATTTCCCTTCTACCAGCCCCCAACCATCCTCCAACTTCCTTTCCGGTCACAACCTCTGGGACCAATAAACACCATTTTTTATGGTTAGCTCCTTATTGCCAACCAACCATAAGCTTCCAGATTCATCAAAATTATTCCAATGAGGTAGAGGCCATCATCAGCTACCTGGTCAACCTGTATCTCCAGGGCTCCTACACCTACCTCCCTCTCTGGACTTCTATTTCCACCACATCAAAATGGCTCTGGAAGGTGTGGGTCACTTCTTACAGAAGTTAGCTGAGCTTTCTTAAAGATGTAAACCAGCAAAGCAGCAGCACCCTCTTCTGGTATATGCAGAAAGTGCCTCAAGATAAGTAGATGCCATGGAAGCCTCTATTGCCTTGGAGAAATGCGTGAATCAGGACCTTTTGTATCTGCCTGTCCAGACCTTCTTCTCTGTGACTTCTTGGAGAAGTAAAACTAGATGAAGAAGTAAAACTCATCAAGAAGATGGGACCTGACTAAACCTCTGCAGGCTGGCTGGCCTCACCTAGAGGAGTATCTCTTCAAAAGGCTCATCCTCTAGCACAACATCCTTTAAGGGGCCCCTCTGCATGCCCCTGGTGTCAGGGCCTCTGCCTGAGCCTCTCCCTGCAGTCATTGGGCAGCTTTTTAACCACCTAGAGCCTTTTTCCAAGCCATGGACCAAATAGAAAAATAAATCTTTTTGCAGGAAAAAAAAAAAAAAACCTAAGTCATTAATTCTGCCATAAAATTTTAGAATGTTAATTAAAATAACATACATCTGATTTAATTTTTAACCTTCTCAACCATTCAAATACTAAATTCAATTCTTTTTTCAATTTGACAGAAGTCGTAACAATTCTATTTATAAAAACATACCAGCAAGAGGTGGCTTATGTGAGTGAAGAGTACAGGGCACACTGACAATTAATTTGTGATCTGGAATGGAGGGCACTTTTACATCAGCATTCCTAATTAAAACAGAACAACAAAGTAAATTATATTTTAAAGAACTTTATATTTGTGTGTGTGTGTGTGTGTGTGTGTATACCACAGTTGCCTTAACTTATTTTCACCTTTTAAATAGTATCTGAATTGAAAATAAATTTCATAGAAACAATAATGGAAATCAACAATTTAAGTACTGAGACATTTCCAATAATTTCCTTTTCTACAATGACAAGTGCACACTAGATAAAACAAAAGAATATAAATTTTCATATGCCACATCATTCATACTTTTCTGGTGTGGGACACTTTCAGATTTTCAAAAATGTAAAAATTAGGGAAAATCAATGATTGTTGTGTTAATAATTTTTAAAAGTCTAAAAATTAATACATTTATACAATTTTTTAAAAATCATCTTTCCTACCTTAATGGTAAAGCAGTTTCTTCTCGAATTCTCCCCAGTATAAGAACTTCATAAGGCTTTTTGTGTGGAGAATCTAGTGGGAACACAAACTCTCCTGATTTGGTGATCTGATAGAAAGGAGTCAAAAAAAAAAAAAGAGAGAAACCATACATCTCTGTAAATATCCAGAAAAAGATTTTTTCCCCCTATCACTATACAGTTACCACAAAAGGAAATGAAATTATTAAACTTCTAGGCTAGTGCTGTCCAATGAAAATATAATGTGAGCTACAAATGTAAGTCACATATGTAATTTCAATTTTCTAGTAGCAACATTTAACAGAAGTAAAAAGAATGTGGTGAAATTAATTTTAATTATATCTTCAATTAAATTAAATGATAAACCAAATTATCATTTCAATATGTAATCAATTCAAAAAAGTTATTGAGATATGTTATATTCTTTCTTTCATACTAAGTCTCTGAAATCCACTATATATTTTACATTTAACACCACATCACAATTTGGACTAACCATATAGTAACTACCATAATATTTGACAGCGCAGCTCTAAGGGACTAAAAAATATTTTAAGTATCATTTTATCATCTTGTATACAAAAATCTCTTCTTTTCATTAACATTTATTCCTGGAAACCATGCCATCATTAACCCATTTATTCATTCATTCAAATAATACTTAATGATTACTGGCAATGTGACTAAGTAGGTTATAACATTTTCCTTTATTTATATAAAACGGTGTCATTAAATACTGTCAGAGCTAAAATTAATAATGAAAGAAGCTCAGGGATTGATGAGATAGAAAATAGGCAAATCCCTTGGCATTATATATCCAGAAATTCAATTTTATCATTTCACCCTGGAGTAATCAGACTCTCAAAGATTCACTTAACCTAATCAAATTCAAAACACAATTTATAACACTATCGATTCATTAATTAACCAGGGAGATATATATTTTCATTATCAGAATATTCATATCTTCTTTCTAAGTCCCATAAAATAGGTGTAAATAAATAATATACACAGCTTTTACAAGATATTCCAGCAGACTACAAAATACAAAGCACATAAAAACAGAACTCTCCTTTGTTTATAATGAATATACCAGCTATATAAATATTAAACATTCAATTGATAATAATCTGGCTTATCTTTTTAAAATTTAGGAGGGCTTTTGTGGAATTCCTCTAAGTAGACAATGTATCTTTAAAAAGATGTCCAGTGAACTCTGACTGATGCTTTATTTTTCTGTATTTTTTGGTATTCTTATAGCAAGTAGAGATATTAAAGATCATTCAACCAACTGGAAAATTGGAATCATTTCTTTCAAAAGTTGGCAGAGCAGTGCATAAAGCACTGAAGGACCTAAGTTAAGATTTAAAGTATGAAAGGTTCTTGGTTCTAGCATCTTCCCACCTCTTTCACATTGGGTCACTTTGCTATTCTCTCTCCCACTCCCAGCACCATAAGAAAAAAAAGAAAGTCACAAAGGGTGACTGAAATTGTGGATGTGTAAAGAAGACGATGAAGGGTAAGACTGATGCTATGTTTACTGGTGGACAGATTTCCCAAAGTTTTTGTTTGTTGTTTTTTAAACTACAGACATCAGAGCTTTTGAAAATATCATCCTCATCTCCCTGAGTGATTTATTAAGGCCAACAGTTTTGGACTCTACTACAAAAAAGACACAAAACAAACAGGTATAAAGCCTTGAAAATAAGAAGACGAAAGTATTTAGCAGCAAAGTAAAAGTTTTAATTAGACCATGTTGAAGTAGTAGAACAATGACATGTTAAGCATTAAAAAGTAGATGCTAACTTTGTGTGATTATATGTAAAACTATATTAACAAATAAGTTAACTTCTGAACTTACTTTTACCCAGTGCCATTCAGCAACTATCTCCACAGACCACGAAGGATAAAGTTCTTCCTTTACAAAACGTAGGTGCTTCTGTCTATTGGTCACCCAAGTAATAACAAGACAGTTTGGAGCAGCCAGTTTAGGGACAGGTATCTGCTTTATTTGCAGTGGTGATAAATAACTGTACCTAAAAACAAACAGGAAAGATATTAGTAAAATTTGCTGCAAAGAAGAAAAATAAGCAGGGAGAAGATCTGTATAACACTGACTCTACAAACACAAAGCTCCTATATTTATTTATATAACTAAATATGAAGCCACAGCGACACCCAGTGGACACATTATTACATGCAAATCAGAAATAGCCCATTTTTCATTTTTACTAGTTTAAAATTATCAGATTATATCTTTACCACTTCTAAATTCATTACCTTTCAATAATTTTACTAATATTTATAATATTCTTTTTCCCATTAGAAATTAAGCAAACATTATTGTTCGGTTTCCATAATCTGTACATTACACAGGGACCCTGTCACAGTGAGTCTTGACACTACTATCTAAATATTCCACTATATTTTCAACCCTCAATCTATCATCCTGTTTCTTTCTTCATTTCCAATATATTCCACTGGGCTCTCTGAAAACTTCATGCTTTCATTACAAAAAAAAATAAAAATAAGATAAAATAAAATAAAAATTCTAGCCTTGTACTTCCTGGCCATTAAGAGTATGAAGTCTAGTTTCTCCTGCTATTGTAGAGCATTATTTGCTCTACAATATCCAGTAAAATGAATGTGGCCCTTTCTCTAACACCCAATCCACAACAGGGAGAGGAGAGGTCAACATTCTCCCAGCTCCCCTATTACTGCTTCTAGAATATAACTCATTTACCTTTACATAAAATCCCCTCTCTTTGAGAGGTATGCTATCCAGCGATGCTAGCCTCTAATGTTTCTTACTGAAACCATTTAATCTTCACTCTCCATATTCAATGAATACTTAAACTCCGAGATCCTTCTATTACCAACACAAATTTTGCCATTATCCTGGGCAATCTCAAAGCATAGTCTATATCATGTGTGTACTTCAACTATTCTTCCCTTAAATAAGTACAATTGCACTGACCCCAATTCAATAATCCATTGCACTGACCATAACTTAGACCTTACATAACTCATCACTTACATTTGCTCCATCTCTGAAACCATGAACATTGATTTCTGATCATAAGCTCCTGTCCCTCACCTATTCTTTGACCTTATTGGAGCACCAGTCAGTGCCCCATTCCACCACTTTACTGAGTTTCTATCAGCTTCTTCCTGCCTGCACTTGCTCCTCTTCCTAACAGACTACCAATCACTTCATTGCCCTCTCACTAGCACCCTCAATTCCCACCCCACTTTTACCCTTCACTCCACAGCAATTACAAACCTCCAATCTTAAATTCAGTGCAATTCAACTCCTTCATAAGGGGAAAATCAAGCGTAGAAAAATGCAGAACTGAATAACTAGATCAATGAAATCCATCTCAGACTCTCAAAACTACTTAATTCTTTTACTTATCCTTGGTCAACTACTACAAACTGCCATCTCTTTTCAAGTCCCTTGCCCAGACTCCCACTTTTGGCAGAAAGACCACCAGACTCTTTCAACTACCTAACTTCTCCTCCCTCCTTATAACACCTTCCCTTATATATTTCTAAATATTTCTTCTTAAAGGAAATGGCATGGCTTCACCTATTTAAATCGTATACATGAAGTTTGGAGAAATATGGCAGAGTGAGACATGTCCCCAAATCTCTCCTCGTGAAATAACAATAAGCTGAACATCTAAAACTCAACAAAAAACACCCAAACTACACACCAGCACGTCTGATCATGGGATCTGCACATAAGAGCTACCACAGGTCAGAACCCCAGGTATCAGGCGTTGGACTGGGAGAAACAAGGAAGCTGCCTCTCACAGCCAGAGCTCCTTGTAGAAGCGGGGAGGGGAGAAGGTACAGCAAGTTCCCTGAAGAGCCTTGTCTGGGAGAGCTGTGAGCTCCACGTGGCCGGCAACAGTGCCCAGTCATCAGGGCAGAAGGCAGAAAAGCAGGACAGCAGAAAAGCGGGGACGGCAGAGAAACAACAGTTGATTTTTACCAGCCGCAGTTGCAAAACCAGGGCTGAGCCACAGGCCTCAATCCCCAACCCAGAGGGCCCCTCCCCCCGTATCCTCCAAGACCTAACACCATGGAGCTCAGGGGAATATAAGCAAATGCTACTGAAACTGTTGCTAACACTGACAGGGACTAAGACTGAGGGTAGCGAGCATGATTAAACATCTATAAGAAAAAAAAGGCATTATTAAGGCTCTATACAAAGCAGGGATCTAAGAGGCTTAGACGCCACCTACTGGAAACCAAAAGAAAAATGCCTTCTTTGCAACAGGCTAAAGAAAGACTTTTATATAATAAATCTTCTTTCTGGAAAGAAGGCAGAGAAATAGTCCATTAAACACGATGAACAACCAAGCAAACTAAGCATCTCAGAAAGAAAGTGAAAAATCTCCAGAAAATAAGCTTACAGACATAGAAATATGTGACTTAAATGACAGAGAATTCAGGATGATACTTCTGAAAAAACTCATTCAGGTTTAGTAAGGAGATCAAAACCCTTAAAAAGAACAGAACTTCTGGAGATTAACAACACACTGTGACTCAACAACAACAAAAAAAAACAAACAATCCAATCAAAAATGGGCACTTGAACAGACACTTCTCCCTAGAGGACATACAAATGTCCAACAAATATATGAAAAGATGCTCAACATTCCTAGCTATTACAGAAATGCAAATCAAAACCACAATGAGATACCTCTTACACCTGTTAGAATAGCTATAATCAACAGGACAAGTAATAACAAATGTTGGAGAGGATGCGGAGAAAAGGAAACCCTCATACACTGCTGGTGGGGCTGCAAATTGGTATAGTCACTATGGGAAGCAGTATGGAGGTTCCTCAAAAAACTAAGAATTGATCAAGCATATGACCCAGCAATCTCTCTACTGGGTATTTACCCCCCAAAACCTGAAAACCCATATCCGAAAAGATATTTTCACACCGATGTTTATAGCAGCATTATTCACAGTGGCCAAGACATGGAAGCAACCGAAGTGTTGATAATTGGATAAAGCTATGGTACATATATACTATGGAATATTACGCAGCTATAAGAAGAGATGAAATACTGCCATTTGAGACAAATGGAGGGATTCAAGATAATCATGCTAAGTGAAATAAGCTAAATAGAAAAAGTTGAAAATCACATGATATCACTTATATGTGGGAGATAAACCTAAAAACAACAAATGAACAGAACAAACAAACAGAGACTCATGGTCATGGACAATAGACTAGTGGTTACCAGAGGGTAGCAGGGAGAGGGGAGGGGGAAGTAGATGGGGTGAAAGGGGTCAAATATGTTTGACTGAAAGAAATCTAACTATGGGAGATGAACACACAGTGTTAACATATATATGCCTTACTGTTGCAGTGTACAGCTGAAACTTATCTGATTTCATTAACCAATATCACCGTAAAAAATGAATTTAAAAAAATTATAAAAAATAGATTAAAAATTCCCATCTTCTAGTATCTTGTAATACTATTACTGTCCTCTTTCTGTACTTTCAACCTCTCTAGTAGTTCCTTCCCATCAACCTATAAATATGATTATAGTATCCAATTTTAAAGAAAGAGGAGAGAATAAACAGAAAAAAGAGAAGGGAAGAGAAAAGGAGAGAAATTCCTTCAATTTGGTCTCCTTCTGTCTATAGTTAAGAACTGGTATGCATTTAGCCTTTCTACTTTCTCTACTTTATTCCTCAATGGACTACAATGAGGGAAATACTATTATAACTGCTCTGGGAAAAGTAAATAACATCAAAATGGCCAAATGCAATAAACACTGGAATCCAGCTCTAACACAGGGCAATTGTATGATGTCAGGAAGTGATCAATAAATATTTCTTAAATAAACAAATGAGTAAAACAATTCTGATCTCATGTACCCGAGTGTCCTGCCATCTAGACCAGTGTTCTTCTAGTAGACTAGCATATTTTGTAATTAAAGTGATGAATTTTAAAAATTAAGTTTGCCACAGTATGAAGAATATCAGCTCAAAAATTTGAAGTTTGATGGTCCCAATAATTGCAGATTTCTTGACTGCCTTAATTTTATTTTAATTTTATTTAATTAGGTTGATTGTAGAGGAGAAGGATGAAATAGTTATACTTCGTTTTCTAGTTCTAATCTGGAGACCACAAAGCAAATTCCAAAATACACATCTTTAAGTGTTGCAATAGAAAATATGCAATATCACCTATGTAGCATTCTTCTCGAATATGTTTAACCTGAATCCAATCGTGAATAAATAATCAGACAAATCCAAATTATGGAATATCTACAAACAAGGGGCTTGGACTCTTAAAAAAGAGTCAATATTCTGAAAATAGAAATGACTACATTAAAGGAACTAAAGAAAAATAAAGACCAAAAGTAATGAGTGATCCTTGATTAGACCTTGAGTCTAAACAGCAAAAACAAAAAATATAGCCATAAAGGATAGTTTGAGGATAATTGGAGAAATCTGAACATGTAATATATATTTGATAATATTGTTCCCAATATTAACTTTATTGGGGGTGATAACATTATCGTAGTTATATAGGAGAATGTTTTTGTTTTCAGGAGATGTCTGCTAAAGAATTTGTGGGTGAAATTATCATGTCTGCAACATCAGATTAAAAAAGCAGAAAAATGGAGAGAAAATACACACAAATGTGGTAAAATATTAATAACTGGTAATTCTAGGGGAAAGGTATTTTGATATTCAAATACTATTCTTCCAATTTTTCTCAAAGTTCACAATTTTTTTAATCAAAAGTTGAGGGAAAGAAGCAATATAGTAAATCATCACAATGAGGAACTCATAAATATACACCTACAAAATAAATGAGAAAGAAAACCAAAACTTTCAAAATGTTCTGTGTAAAACTATCATAAAATACTTTAAATGAAAGAGTCTATTATTCAAGATTATAAAAATTTGTCCCCAAAATGTTGCTAACAAGATCAAGCACTTGTTTACTTTTTTAAAATTTCTATAGAGTATTCTAAAATAAGATGTGAAAAACTATTAATTTTCATTAAAAGGAAAAGCAAGTGAAATTTAAGCTAGATTTTTTTTAAAAAATTCTTGGAGAAAACTGGAGCACATTATCAAAGAATATTACAGAACTGGCCTCACTGATTCTTTTGAATTTAACAAAACTAAAATAATAATAAGCAGTGGAGAACAAATAGTCTTTTAAACAAATGATGCCCATTCTCCTATCCTCCCCCCCCCACACACACACACATACACATACACAAGGACAATCCTATCAGGTATGACATAGATTACCTCCCAGAAGCTAAGGGCAAAGGTCAGATTATTAAGGAAAATTACATTTTGGCATATATTTCTACACTTTAGAATTTGATATCAAAGAAGTCAAAAATGTTGCCTTTGCTGTTACAGAAACATCCCTGAACTGGTTCAGTCAGTAATCTTAGCTATTAATAAGTATATTACTTGTAACATTCTTACATCTATATATAGTTCTAGTTCAAGAGAATTATTTAGTTAAATAAAATTTTAAAACTAAAGTGTTTTAGTAGTTTGACAACCTATCATAAAGTAATGCTTTTAGCATATGTAACTAGAATGTACAAAAGGACAATAGCTTTTAGAAAGCATATCTAATAGATAATTTACTTATACTTACCTATTGCTTCTTTTAACTGATTTGTTCTGCCATGGTGGATCTATCACAATTACATCATATGTTTTCTTATCTGAAAACAAAGACATAACTTCAGAATCTAACTCTGTATACGATCACTTTAAAACTAAGCATGTTCTTCAAAACTGAAGTGCATTCAATACATACACAAATATAATGGAATGGACAGAAGGTTTGTGGCATTTATTCAAACTGAATAGTTTATCTTAAAAAATTAAGATATTTCTCCTATAATTTAGTAACATTTGGATTTCAACATGACTTTACCTACTACTATTTTTACAGAGACTCCCTGAAAATAACTTCGGCTCACTTAGCTGGACACCAGTGATTTGTAAAATGCCCTATAAGTCTTTACAGCAATATTAATACGGTCCTTTTGAACCTCAGTTTTTTGCTTTTTTTAACTTTACATGTGAAATAAACTTTAAGTCTTATAACTGACATATTTGCCATAATAAAATTTCCCCAACTGTCTACTAGTGTCCTTTTTTCTGATCCAAGATCCAAATCAGGATCACACATTACATTTAATCACCATGTCTCCTAAATCTCATCTAGGAAAGTTCCTCAGTTTTTGTCTTTTATGACCTTGACACTTTTGAAGGACACTGGCTAGTTATTTAATATGTCCCTCAGGTTGGATTTGGTGTTTCCTCATGATTAAATTTAGGTTATTAGTTTTGGCAAGAGTACCACTGAATTTATGCCATGTCCTTATCAGAATGACATATCAGAAAATATAGGATATCTCATTATTTGTGATAATACCTTTGACCACTTGGATAAAGTGTCTATTCGGTTGCTCTAGTTTTCCCTTTGTAATTAATAGGTATCTTGTTGGGTTAGGTACTGACTGTGCAAATATCTTGTGTCTCATCTTTTCGCCCACCATTGTGACGTACAAATACTATGGTGTTTGCCAAATGAAAATTTTCTAGGTCCATCATCCCATCCACATTTATTAATTGGAATTTTACTGTAAGGAAGAGCTGTCCCTTCTCCCTCTTTTATAAACAAAGGTATATTTTTCTAAGTGTATAATCTCATCAGTAATTAAAAGAAAGCAAATTAATGAGGAAGTAACAGTTTTAAAACTATCAGAGTAACAAAGGTCAAAAAGAATGAGGAAAAAAATATTCAAACATAGCATGATTTTCTCATTAATTTGTTATCCTGTCACTTATCCTGAAGAATTTTTGATACTGTAACATGAATAACCACTCATGTGTAAGATGGTTGACAGCAATTAAAAGGAGCTTTTAATTAATGAGCTATTTTTTTAATAACTTCAAATTTCGAATAAAATGTCCAAATAATAATAAACAGCAGATTAAATTCAACTTGATCAATGCCTTTTATCTACCTCATCCCTTAGAATATTATAAATTGTAAACATATAAATCGCTGAACTAAACTCCTGATGCAGATTATCTCATTTAATCCTCAAAATGGCCCTCAGAAGTAGGTATTATATTCATTTTATAGGTTAAAAACCTGAAGCTCAGTTTTGTTAAGTGCCCAAAGGCTCACAGTCAGTAAGCTTCAGAATCTAAATTCAAATTCAGGTCTGTGTTACCCTGGACTTCAATATTTAGGTTTCTTAACTTTATTACAGGAAAATATTTCAAGAAATTTTAGACAATAAACTAGAACATTAGCTTAAAATGTAATGTAAAAGGCTAGGGATGGTTTTTTTCTAATTTGCTATGAAAAAAAGTCATTTGGTCAAATCCAATTGTATCTTGAATTCCTAAGCACAAAACAGTAACTATATTTGCTCTCTTGAGGACCAGTTAGTTTTTGACCCTTTGTTCATAATAAGAATTTAAAATTTTTTTAAAAAGCAAAAGTTTGCACTTTAAAATTGAATTTAAAAGCAAAATTACACTGAGAAAATTAAGTGTTTACCCTATCCTCATAAAATGTTTGCCCTCATTCAATATTCAGACTAAATCTTGACTTTTGAAGCTGCAGAAAAATTATTTTTCTAATAATAAACATAATAATTACTTACAATTCAGAAGTGGGTGCATACAAGAAATGTCAGACAAAAGAAAACTGCTTTTTGGTGGCAGCAGATATTTCTGTCCCATTAAAGTAATCATTTTTGTAAAGCTAGAGTTGTTTTCAACAACCTGTGAAAATAAATTCTGCTCTGTAATAGACACATTATCTTCTATCAATTGTAATGCTGGAAGTTCCATTTCATTCAGAGAAGGCAAATGCTTTGCCATTTCACATAATTTTGACAAATTGCAGGTATCAAGTGGTAAAGGAATGGGATCGCTACTTTTGTCCCATTTTTCAGAAAGTGGATGAAGAAAGCCACTTTTAAAACCTTCTTGGATTAACTGTGAAGATCCATCCAAAATCAGCCCCCTGATCTGTAAGAGAATTTTTAAAAGTACATTAAAAGGTCACTGACATTAAAACAACTTTCTAAATAATGAAATTCCTACTATGTTTTGAATAGTTGAGCTTAAGGATTGAAATCAACATTCCTAAGGCTTACAAGAAAATAATTTTATACTACAATGAAAGAATGTCTGAGTATACTTTAAAACTGCTGTTTCCTAATTGGGGAGTCAAACAAACTTCATAAATACACTGAAAATTAAATCACCAAACAATATATAAGACAACGCATCCTTAAAAAGTTATAAAATGAATCTGATTATATGTTTCTAGAAGAAAGGATAATTTCTAATTTGTAAAGAGAATCAAGTTTTAAAAAGATTTAATCTCAAATTTTCTAGTGATTTAATTTTAAAATAAACATACCTTTGATTTTATAAAATATAGCCTGAATTATTAAGAAAGAAAAAAGTAACTATAAAATAAACAAAGTTTTGCTATAATACAACTATAATAATCATAAAAACAATAGCCAAGTTCTGCTTTTGGATGGAGTACCTTTAATCTGAAATTTAAAGAAAATTTTTTTTTTAATTTAAAGTGCATATTTAATGTACCTAAAGAAAAACAAAACAAAACATCTGACAGTAGACTGGATCATTATAACCTTGAAAATGTGAAAAAAGAAAGTCTGCGTGAACATGAATTTCCAAAACGAAGGCATCTACTACATTTTGCTGATTCTGAAACACTGTTGCTGGGAAGAGCACAGAAAACTAGAAGATGCCTTTCAGATAAAAAATTTAAGGTGGTTATCAGAGTGTAAGGAAGGGAGGAGGTTGACAGGGTAAAGAGGATCAAATATGTGGTGACGGAAAGAAATCTAACTGTGGGAGATGAACACACAGCATAAACATATATATGCCTTACTGTTAAAGTGTACAGCTGAAACTTATTGGATTTCAATGTCGCCATAAAAAATAATAAATAATTTTAAAAAAAAAAGAAATTTAAGTACAGGCGAACCAATGCAGCAAAGCACTTTTAAGTTCAAGTTATGATATATAAGCACAGAGACTCTACTTTCAAGCACTACATTTTTAAAATAATTGTTTAATGAGGAAGAGAGCCTAGTGATTGAAAGAAAAATTGAGCCACTGACTGAGAACAAGGAAAACTAATTCAGACCAAAGGAAATAATGCAAAAACCTTGGCATCAAACAGACCAGGAATCAAATCCTGACTCTGCCATCTCCCACTGGTGTAATCTTTAGCAAGTAACAACTCTGACTCAGAGTTTCTTCCTATACAGAATGAGGATCATAAGGCTCACCTCACAGGGAGCTGGGAGAATTCAATGAGAAATCAGGTACAAAATGCCCAGCATGGTGCCCAAATGATGGTAGGTGCTCAATAAACATTAGTTCCCTCCCACTAACTCCCATGCCATTTTTATCAGTAAGCATCATGAAAGGGTTTGGAAACTGCTAAAATGCATTTCCTTGCGTCTGGATTCTCAAATTTATCAGTCTATTTACAAGCAGATTCTCTGAGATAAGCCTTAGATACAAAGGCCTAAGATCTGGTGAGAAACCTGACTTGGATCACTGTGGACATCTGGTTCCCAGGCCAATGCCTAAAAAGCCTGTCTAGGCCCAGAATGCGGCATGAGTGGCCAAGAAACAGCCAGAAACTAGGGCAGCCAAAAAGGGGAAGGATTATTTGATCTTCAGCTCTTGTCCTTCAACTGTGTAGTGCCAACAGATGAGCCCAATTGGGTCCTGCAGCCTGGCACTGGCCATTGTCACCACAGTCATTGGCAGCAATCTGTCTTGGCTCAAGTGTAGGGGGTGGTAGATGTCAATCTTCTTGGTCGCTGTTGTGCCTACATGACTCTTGTTATCAAATTTGGAACACTTGTTAAAAGGGTTACTGAGCTGCAGAGCGCACTGCTCCAGGCATACAGGTAATATTGACCGCATTCCAGAACTTGGAGGTTTCTCTGAGGCACTTTTTTTTCAAACAGTGCTTTTAATTCCTCCGCTGATTGCTTAGAATTTCTTTCTTTCCACTGAATATTTTTGCATTTGATCTAGTTTTGTCTCCTTTCAGAGTAACTCCAAATTTTGAGCTATATTTGAGCATCTTCTAATACCAACACCCCAGAGGTAATATCAACTGAATGGGCATATACATAGCCCTGAGTCTCACCACTGCTTCCCTGAATTTCTGACCCACTGTCTCCAGTCATCAAATGAAGATGAACCTTCTCTAAGTCAACATCATGATGAATGAGAACAATCTCACACATTCCTATGTCATCACCGGTCACATGTGACTATAGAATATGAGCTAAAATGATAGTTAGATTTGTCCAAGAAGGCCATCCTTTCTGTGGGCCAGTTTCCTTAACTCATTTTCCATTTGCCCGGAGAATATTCGCTGGCAGCACTTGCGGCTACAGCGTTTGAAATAATTTGTGGATACAGTCCTCGTCTTACCCCCAAAGTTTGTCACAAACTATCTTGCTTTAATTATTATTTTCGCATCACTGCAGTATATCGATAGTCTTTGGGAACAAACGACATCATTCTATTTATAGCATTCTGTTTTTAGTAGTGGTATGTCCACTTACAAAATATAGTTAATTCTCTATTGCTGAAAATGTCAAATCCTAGAAAATGCATAGCATTCCTACGCATGATGTTAACATCATTCTCAAAGAGTTATTAGCCGAAATTCATTTGATGAATCCGATATATGTATACATTTGTTACATTAGGATTAGAGATAAGTTCTATTTAGAAATAACTCCAAAACAGTTTTTATATTTTATTTTCACATTGAAAACCAGTCAGATTTGCTTCAGCCTCAAAGAGCGTGTTTATGTAAAATAAAATTAATGCTGGCAGTGAGCTGCATTTTTTTCTAAATGAGAAATGGGTTAAAAGACTATTTTATCCTCTTCATATTGATTCACAGGCTCACCTACTTTTGCCATTATCAGTGATTCTCTACCTTGAATCACTTTACTTTTCTAAGCTTCAGTTTCAGCATTGGCAAGATGGGAACACAACATAATATCCTTGTTCTAACAACTGGGTTTGAATCCTGGCTCTGTATGGTACCGGCTGTGTAATTTATCCAGAATCTTCCTAATCTGAAGCTGTTGCCTCACTACGGGCCAGGTTGGCCCTGGGACAAATTCTTTAGGGAGAACCCAGCTTCCTCACTCCTCTCAGCCCCTATCCCGAGGTCCATACTCTCAGAATCCTCAGGGACTGGTGCTCCTCTCAGCCAGCTCAGCTGCCATTTTCCAGGATCACCTTCATGCGCCTGTTGCTCACCGCTACCCATTGGCTGAGCAGCACCCCTGTTGCCCCCTAAGTCACGCCACAACCCAGATGTCTAAAGAAGAAAATTTCTTACAAGGCTTTCAGACCTTGGATGGATGTCAAGCAATGCAGAACAGTGGTCCCTAAAAAAGGAGAAACAAATGATTTCTCTAGATTACTGCTTTGAGAAAGTTTCCAGGCAGTAACACATGGAATAAAACTCATTCAGAATCCAACAGCCTCTCTGAGTTGAAGAATAGAGCTGGGTGTCTGCAAAAGCCAAGTAGCTACAGTTTGCAGGGCAGGATACCAGAGAGAAGAGAACTGAATAGACAAAGAGATCTTGAAAGTTGCACAGGGTTAAGTCTCCAGCTGAGCAGTGAACAGCACATACATGTGATGAAACTACCTAATGTCAGGGAAATAACCAGATGAAATGGTCAGAGAGAACAATCCCCAGAGCTCACACAGAACTAGGAACATTTAGTGCTCCATCTGGCCATAATGGAAAGGTAATTCACAGGGCATCAAACAGACGACTCAGAAGAGTATTTGCCTCAGTAACTGGGAAAAAAAACAGCTCTAGACTAAAGTCTGCTCTGGTCTTAACTAAAAAAGCTTAAAGGAAATCTCAAAAAGGTCAACCAGTTTCAAAGTTAACTATGTCCAAAAACAAAGTTCAAGAATACGTATAGGAATGTGAAAATATCCAGTACTTAACAATTGAAATACCTTACAAAAAAAAATAAAAAATTAACAGGAATAGAAAGCAGAAAAATTCAGTACATTATAAAGGAAAAATCACTCAATGGAAACACACGGGAATGAATGACACAAATGACACAATTAGTAGGAAAAGGAGTAGATTTACTTGTAGCCCATTTAGAAAGATTAGAAAAGGGTATTAAAGCACTTATCATAACCATATTCATATGTTCAAAAATGTAAAGAAAAAATGAGCATGTTAAGAAAAGCCATGGAAACTATAAAAAAGACCAGATTGAGTATCTAGAGATAAAAACTACAATGTAGAAATGAAAACTACATTAGATTGGGTTAACAGATTAGATATTGATTAATGAACTTGAAAACAATGTAATAAAAGGAGGAGAAGGAGGAGGAGATAAAGGAGGATGAGGAGACTACATTAAAGAATATCCATAATCAAACTGCTGAAAAACAATGATAAAGAGAAAATGTTCAAAGCAGTGATAGACTTCCAACTCCACTTCCAACCAAGATGGAGTAAGAGGGACAACAGCTTTCAAGACAGTGGACATTAAGACTACAAAAGACAATGAAAAAGTTATAGGTAAGCCCTATGACTGTCCCCCACTAACTGCCTGGAAAATTTCCAGACCACAGAAAGGAGGAATCTGGGCAGAGCCTAGAAGAAATCCAGAGGAGAGGAGACAGAGCTGAGAATATGGGATGGCTAAGACCATTAGAGTTCACAGGACAGACTACCAGAGATAAAAGAGCTACACAGAGGGAGAACTATAGACCTGCAGGTAGTCACACTAGAGAAATTCCCTTAAGTAATGATCAGCTAAAGTGTGTGAAGGAACTACCCGCGGCCGGGAAAAGGACAACTGAAAAGGACTAGAAGAAACAGTGCCTGGAGCTCCTGCAGGACCAGGAACAGTGCCTGTTTCCAACATTCAGACTAGAAAACCTCATGATTTACAGGGCAA